CCTCGAAACGCTGAGTCCAGACCTATGGGGAAATCATAGTTGAATTTATTAAGCCAACGCGGGTAATTTCCCGCGAATAAATATTTAAATAACACGAACGGTTTATTCAATCCAGCCAATATCAAGCAGAGTTCAAATGTAGGACGGTTCTGTCGATAAATTTAATGTTAAGCGATTAATTTCATGTAACTCGACGCCGTTATAGGCAGCGGCGAGCAATCTCACGCTACGGACATTTAAAACGCGCAATTTCTTTTATCGGTATCGCGCGCGCGAGAAATAATGATACCCAATATAAAATTTGCTTAAAAATTAACATAATTAAATTACAGTTAGCGTTGCACCGGCGAAATTTCCAGCAACAAAATGTGATTAAAACTTGTTTATCTAAATTTATATCCTCGGAGGGAAGTCCACGCCTTGTTGAGCTACTGGCTGGTTATTCGAATTCTCTCGGAGGAGATTAACCCTTGTAGAAGGGTTAAAACAAGCCTCATCCTTTTCCCGACCCTTAATCTGGCGGTTTAACGTTTCCGTTGATCCACCTCACGGTAAGTTTACTTGGCAGTCAAGGATTTACAGCACAGGACCGATCGCCGAAATACATATGTATACGTATTATCTATGTATATATGTATAAAATGCAACACAACACGCTTTCATTTCAGCTACGAATTGAAATACGAAACATTTATTTATGCAATTCACTATACATAGTTATTCACGCGTGTTATTGCTGTTACACGCCATGTAAAAACGGAAAAACCATTTACGCGCACCAGGGAAAAAGATAAAACCGTTGAATTTTCCGATAGCTTGGTAAATAACGAAGCGATGACAAAAAAAAGGGAGAAATTAACGCGACCACATTCGCGCAATACCTCAAATTTACGCACAGCATGTTCGCGTTAAAATCGGTTTAATCACCCCAGTGTAGTTTCCCTAATTTTCTTTTACAATTATATGCGTTCCGCATTCAAAAATTAATTTTTCCAGCAAACACACAGCTGATTGCGTTAGTGTTTCATTCTAGCAAATAATTAAATTTATCTATTAAATAATAAAAATATTCAAATTACAATTATTAACTAAAGCTAATTAAAATTCAAAATAAGTGAAATTTGCTTGAAATTAATAGATATATACAATCTATGACAAATAACAAACTTAAAGTTTAGAAACTTGTTAATTCATTATTTAACACAAGTATATATTATTTTAATGATCGAATTATTAATGATCCAATTATTATATTAAATTAGTTACTATTAATTAAGTAATATTTGTCACGTGCACACGAGCGTTTCAGCTTGGCGCATCTCAGTATTCATGAGATGCACCGTTAAAGGGATACAAGACCAATTGCGCTGTTAAGCGACTGCAAATGTTAAATAAACCCAACGCGAAGTGAATCAAGCCCTCCTCTTTCTCTCTCTCGTCCCTCTTCCAAAGAGTCACACGACGTGACTAACAGCACAATAAGCCATCGATCTCCTCTTTCCCCATCGATCTTTCTCTCTCTCTTTTTTTTTCGGGGTAAACTCGTTCCGTTGGAACAATCGGATCGCCTCGAAACGATCGCCCATTCAAACAGCTCCCGACAACCTAGTCGGGTGACGAAAAAGGAAAAAAAGGAAGGCAGAGCCGATGACGGAGAGGCAGCGGCGGAAAAAAAATCGAAGCGCGAAAGCACGAGAGAGGACCGATCGCTCCGACACGTCGACGTCGGGCCGGAATCCGCCCTCTTTTGGATGCCGCTGGCGCTTGTGCGATGCCGGTGCGAAAATCTCCGAACAAAAATACACTTCCCGTTGCTCCCGGAAAATTAAATCTTTCCACGAAAGCTGCCGAACAAATCGACTCAAACGTTCGACGCGTCGACGGGTCTGGAATCCGCCCTCTCTAGGGTACTCGCCGGCGGAAAGCCGCGAAAATCACCATGCCAATACACAGGGAATTCGCAACTGGCGTATGAAATTGTTAATAGTGTGTTCTTCATTTGAAGCCGAAATAAAAATTCTAACGGAAAAATATTGAGATATCTATTATATATGTATTTTAACACATATATAAGCGATTAAAAATGAGAATTTCTTGCGAGTTTTATAATTTATGCATGGCAAAACTTTATCCTTTATTTAATTTTGATATCATAAGCTTTCATTCAGTAAAATTTTCATTACTTTTATTACAAACTTTGACATTTTTTCCAAGTTTTTAACTAAAATATTTTATATTAAAAAATACGAAATTAGAATGCATAATAACTCTTTGCGATTCTTATTGTTTAATATCCTCATTTGCAGCTAACTAAATAAGAATTTCAAAAGCCTGCGACATTTCTAATTTGCCATTAAATTATTAAATCTATGATAATCAAAAATGTAATCATTTTCCAATAATCAGTAATTTAATTATGACCGATAATTAATTTAACGTTCTTTATTTTCATTGTTATAAATTATGAATATTTATTAATAGTTAATGAAAATGATGGATATATTAGTCGTGATCATAAGTCATTAATTTGATTATTCGAAATTAACTTGTGATTGTATTCTAGTCAATTTTACGCGTATCTACTCCCTCCTAGATATTGCCGGCGTAATTTTGCCAACACATTGTTGCAAAAACTTTTTCCGGCACGAGAGTGCATAGCCAAATTCCGGCCGATGTAACCTTCATCGATACAAAGTACGAATTTTTTCCCGTCATCGGTCCAATCCATGAACGATGAAGGCTGGGTTGCCGCGTCCGTTCTTTCGCTACAACAACCGTATTTTTCACGCCTCTCTTGCCGAGCCTTCTTTCTCCTTTTTTTTCGCTTCGAAGCCCGTTATCATTGCGAACGCGTCGAGTCGCGGTGCCGCACATCGGTCGCCCATTAAAATCCGTCGATTTTATCGGGACCTCTTTCTCGCACTTCCGGGTCGTGAAGTCGCGGTGAAACGCGTAAAAAAAATAAAAGGAAAGAGGTCAACGGCAGAGCGAGAGCGACCGCCGGTAAACCGAGACGACGGCGTGAGTGCGCGTGCCGAAAAATACGCTCGTTAACCCGTTATTCGTCCGAGAAAAAGACAGATCGGTGATTTTATCGAAATTGTTTGACGTTTTATAACGAAACAACTTTGTGGATCGGATGTATCTGGGAAAAGAAATAGCGGTAGAATTTGTGATGCAAATGCCACATTAAACGGATAAAAGCGGCGGAAAAAGCCGAGTGCCTATGCCTGTGAACATACGACGAGATAAATGCGTATTTTTACACGGTGGCGAATATATTTCACCTCACATTGTGATGATTAATTTTGTTGAAATATGGGTGGAATAATGAGTTATTCGCCACGCGACTATTCTTCTTATCATTATACATATAGTGTCCTCTATTAAGTAGTTCCACGCAAAGTGCCATTTAAAAAATTAAAAAAAAAATTGCAAATAATTAATAGATAAGAATGAAGATTGAATAATCTGTTCAATAATTGCGATTTTAAAAATCGAGTAACGTCATTATCATTATGATATTAACTATTTTTTAGTTAATTTTATAAACTGAAACATGCCAGTTAATATTCATAAAATACCAAAGATAGTAAAAATCATCGGCAGTAATCGATAACTGGAGTCGCGGTATTTTTGTTCGTGATTTATATCTTAAGTTGATTAAAAGATATAAAAGCTTGACTTTCATCAACGTTATACTGTATACAATATTTAACGGCACCGTACAATCGTCATTCTTAAACGCGATCAAGAAAGAGGTCAATGAATTATCAATGCCACTGCGTCACGTTTTCCGTATATGACATAACATATCCGTTTCTATGACAAATGTGAAATGAAAATAACCATCAATGATATATTTTTAATGAGTGAAATCGACTCCGTAGCTTGCCTAATGTTGACAGACGCCTCGAGTTATTCGAAGAAACTAATTTACAAAACGAATGCGTATATCTACTTCGCGTATATCGACATGACTGACAGCGAGAAATCGAAAGCGTATGATATGCGTGCAATATGCGTATAATAAAATTCATACTTATATCGGAGGTATAATAAAAGAAACTTGTCAATAATCGTCAGTTAAAAAAGACTCTCAAATCACAAGGTGACTTTGCTGCATCTCGTCCCTCCAATTGAGATTTTCACTTTTCTAACTTGCTTTTAATTTATTGCATTTTTAATTAAAAAATATACTCTTTTTAATAGTTGCACTTTTTTTAACTATTTAGACTGCGTAAAAACTCCATTTTATATCGTTATTTTCAGTCAAAATACCATCTTTTAAATTATACTATTGTTATTTTATGTAACCTAATTTGAAGTCGAGTCAGCTTTTAGAAGAGTTAATTCCGGATAATAAATCTCACTCTGTACTGGATTTGAATCTGCAGCAAACTTACTACAAGCATTATAACTATTATTTATTATTTATGTTCCCAGTCTGTATGCAGTTTGTTTTTCAGTCTATACAAATCAGTATATCCAAAAAGATAACATAAAATCAAAAACACTTCTCATTTATAATTGATTAATTGAGAATAATTCAGAATAAACAACAATAACATTATTACGTCTACAGTTATTTTTGCAAGTCCAAAGTTTTATTATTTGACAGTAAACAGAATTTATGATATTTTGTTTAGCTTTCTGATTATACTCGAGGAGATTTTTTAAATTCTGTTAAATAAAAATATTATGAATCTCGTTTCTTGACTCATCTTCTTGATTTTACTGAGATAAGCCCAGAAATGCATAATATCTCATTCTCTTGTCACCTTGACTTCCGTGAAAGAAGCAGTCGTCCGACGAAAGTCTCATAAAATAATAGCATCCGGTCGAATGAAGAGAAAAAAAATGCCACCTCTCGCTCACATACGTCACCCACAGCTTTCCCCTTCTTTCGACACTGTCAGCACCCGGCGAACAAACGTCTCTCCGCAGTAGAGTATATATCACGTCTCGCACGCTACGCACGCTTTAGTGTTTATTGGAAAGAAGGGGAGGAAAGGCCACGGACACGTATCTCTCTGGGGCCCAGTGTGTTGCGCGATTTCGCGGCGAGAGGATCGGCAGAATCGATCAGAAGAAGCACATACGTTCCGCGGCGTCTTTCGTCACGTCGATCGAGTCGTGTCAACCGTTGATCGATCTCTATCTCTTCCATCACATCCGCCAGAAATCAAACGGCGCGATCTTGAACATCGATCGATTCCGCGTTTCGGCATGGCTTTGGCAATCAAGGTGAGTGACGAACGTGCGCAACAGGTTGATGCACTCTCTCTTGCGCGCGCGGTATACGCACTCCTATATATATGTATGTATATATATGTATGTGTACGTCTATATACATATATATATATATACATGTATATATACACGTCTGGGCTGGTGATTTAAAGTTTCGGAAGAGAGCACTCCCGAGAGAGAGAGAGAGAGAGAGAGAGAAAGCCGCTGCACGCCGGTCGACGAAGCTCGCATTTAGGAATACGCGGTTGTTTCGGTATGCGGAGAAAATTCTCGCCCCTGGTAAGCTCCCCTGCGATATCGCCGTTCCGAGAAGCTTATTCATCGAGCGTTCAGGATACGGCACGAGCTACTTAGGATCCTTGCCGCGGACTCGCTCGGTGTCGTACATTTTACGACGAGGTATCCGAGGCTGCAAGAAGACCCTACCGCCGCTTCCGGGCGATTTATTTTTATCGCAATGCGTTTCACCCCGCACGGTGAGGGACGCCCGCGGGGGAATAAATTCGCGTCAAAAAATGCGCCACTTTGCATAATTGTATATTTGCTTGGGATGTCTCGGAAATCGCACTTCCATACAAAACATCTATATTTGAAAAGCGAAAAAAAGTAAATTTTTTTTTTATTTTTAGTTTTGACATTTATTTAAAATGTTAAAATTAGAGAGAAAAAAACCAAGCTTTATGCGCAGAGTAGAATAATCTCACAAATAAAGATAGCAAATATTATTTAAAAGTAATATAATAATTAAGTAAATCCATATAATATAATAAAAATTCCTATCATTTTAATTGTAATGTATAATTTATTTGTAATGTATTCTCATAATTCGTGTTTTTTTCCGAAGAAAAAAATCAATTTCAGATTTTCGCTTTGGATATCTTTCTGCTCTTCACATACAGATATTATATTTGGATAAAGCAAATATTGGAAGCCAATAAAGATGTATTATTTTGATTACATTGCCGAGTATGGAATAAAACAATGTTTGCAGGCATGTATGCAAAGGCTCGGATTAATGCGCCATTAGATAAAGCTAATAATGTTCAATTGTTGCTTGCCTTTGTACAGCCAAACGATCACATGATGCAAAACAATCGAGCCTTGTGCAGGACAACGTTATAATGCGACCGATTGCGACGACATAATGCGACTCCAAAATTGCATTGGTTTATAGACGTAACAGCTATTCGCACACGCGTATGCAATACGAAAAAGGAAGGACAGCAGTGACAATGAGCAGAGAAATCTCATATCGAGATCTTTATATGGTTAACAAAACAGACATTTCATTATATGCATCCTTATCGATTTACATAAATTAAATTTAGCAGGACATTGACCGAGATTAAATCTCCATGAACATTTCTCTACATCTAAAATTTCGTAGCAGTAATTACGAAAGTGGCTTAAATTAATTATTAACTGTGGAAAATATTAATAAATATAAATATTTTAAACATGTTTTGTTAAATCACAGATAATACTTTTTAATATGTAAAAGTATACAAATTTAAGTATTATAAAATAAAATATGAGAGGTTATTTTTATATTTATCTACACTTGTCGACTCACACGTAAAGACTCTAAATAATTGATATATATGCGTAAGAAGTGGGTTAAAGTCAGAATAAAATCCTACGACAAAGAACGAATATTACTATAATAAAATCGAATTATCAAATTTCCGCACGTACGGCGACGGCTGTGTGCGCGGTGCGACTGTAACTGGCTTATCGACATTGCGATAACATTATAATTCATACGTATCGTAATCGTATACTTATGCAAAAGGTGAGGAAACATCGCCGGACCGGAATAACAATCGCACAAGGTTGTTGAAGATTTTCGTAATCTGTGACTACATCGTGATAGAAGTGATTCCAGACTATGCGAGCAGCAACGAATAAACGAACAAATAAAGTTTCAAAGTTGAAAAAAAAACAATATTTAAATCTGGTTAAAAGTGAGAAAAACAAGAATAAATCGCGGGAATTATATTAGTTTCAATTTCTCGTAGGTATTTTTAACGACTGCAAGACTTGTAACACCAAAGAATAGTTAAAAAATAAATAAGCGTCTACATATTTTTGTACAATTTACACTTATATGCAAACTAGTCTTCTTATTAAAAATTTATTATATTTAGCATTACAGCTAGATTAAAAAAGAGATTTACATATTGATTAAATCTATCTTACAGTTTTATGAAATAAAGCTCTAATAGAAATACTTTGTAACAATATTTTGCGTTTATTTATTATTTAACAATATTAGGGTCGTTCAACAATTTTCTCTCTACGATCTATCAATAACTTTCCTTTGAACAATTCACTCATTGGGTGTTAATATTGCATTCAAGACAGGAAACTATGTTATTTATCTCGACAATGTTATCGATCGCAACTCGATATCAAAGGCGCGGATTCCCGGCGACAATCTCGCCAATATACATCATGATTAAGCATCTGTAAATTAGTTTGATAACTGTAAATGAATGCGGTTGCAAATATAATACCGCAACGACGGCGGCGCGTCGCTAAATTATTATTTATCGAACGCGACGCCGATATCGCATGTATAACTTATAGGAATAGAGATTCTCTGATATATCTCGGAATATTCATCGACGGGAGAAACCCTCCTCTCTCTCTCTCTACGGTACATACATAACTGCAGATTAATTTTATAACCGCAAATGTGCGCCGCGCGCAGACGTGACGATGCGATGCGAGTGAATCACCGAGTTAGAGCGGAGCGAAAGTGCCGCGGCGATAACTGCACGTAATTATTGCTATATACAGGCACGCGCGCGCGTTTGGGCTATGAACGTAATTAATACTATACTAATGCCGCGGTTTCGCGACACGTCGTATGCTTACAGCGCATTATCAGCCGCATTGAATGCGAACGTAATTAACGGCCCGTATGCGGATCGCCGTATGTACAAGCGTGTGAAAGGCGGGGGGAGGGGGGGGAGGACAGAGAGAGAGAGAGAAAGATAGAGAGAGAGCACGCGTAGCACTCGTCGCTCGAAACATTCCGGTGCATTATTAGCGCGCGCGCGTGAACGGTATCGCGAGGTACGACGTGCCGACGATAAAATCCATATCGCCGCCAATTTGCCATTCAGAGCGGGCAATAATTCTTATAATCCACACTCGGTTTGCGGAAGTAAGCGGTTTTGCGCGGGCGCGCCTGCATCGAATCCACAAATCACTCTCAACCCCGCGCGAATATATATATACGTCTACGCGGCGCGCGGCGTGATTTACGGAGCCGTCGCGATTATTAGGATTCTGCCACAAAAGTCGAAATTCGAGATGCCAGGACATCCCGCCGGGAAATCAGACAGACGAAGCGTACTAAGTGCGATCTGAGATGCAAAACGTAATTGCGTCGTGATTAAGCTGCATTTGGGTCGTTAGACTTGGTAGAGATGCAATTTTAATATTATTAAAACGTAAAATTTCGTGGTTAACTTTTACGATTAATTTTCCCCCTTAACTTTTCAATTAAATACAAAATTCAAGAATTTATAATTAATTCTTATTCAAATGTTCAATTAAAATACCAAAGGTTTTTCGCAGCAACGAGGAGTTTCGTATTCAACCGCTTCGCATAAATTATACTGCGATAAGTATTAGCGTTATAAAAAAAAAAAATAGAATCGCGCGTTAAAAAACCGTCATGAGCCGTTTGCTACGTGCGTAGTCAAAGAACCGGCGCGACGACGAGAAAGATCGACGATCGCGCAAAGCCCGAGGTTATTCGAAATCCAGGTCGGAGAAAGCAGTGAAAGGGTGATGAGATTAAAATTCAAATTATAACGCGCGTGTGTAAAAGAAAAAAGAAAAAAAGGCAAGGTGTAATCGAAGGAGCGAATCACGCATTCTCGATTGCGGCGTGGATGGCTCGAGCTTCCCAAACGGGTTTACTCGCGAGACGATATGCAAAAGAGGTACGCGACGGCCGCGCCTCGATCGGGCACGAATACGTTAGCACAAAGGATGTCAAAGGAATCCAATAAACAGGGCGCGAAGGAATTCGATTGCCTATATGGACTCAAGTATATTACCGAGCTCGTAATAATCTAGCTAGAAATACGCTCCTGTATGTCATATTTATTGCGCATCAAGCAATCAATGCGCTCGCCTCCATAAGCTCGTTCGATTAACTGGTCTATGCAAAACAACACGACAAACACACGCGATATTTTTTTCGATTGACGCAAATCCAAAGAGCCAATTGACCTGAATCCTGTTTCGGGACATAAAACTATAACCATCATCGTGCAGTAGTGCACCGGCACTTTCGGACAAATATACAACTGTTTGAAACAGCTGGGATATCACTTTTTCAGATGCCTATATCGTTTAACAAATATTTGATGTTTTGAAATTTTAATAAATGGTACTCAAATATTCAGTATTAGTCTTGCCTCCCATAAGTGTCTTTATACAAACAGTTTATATGCAAAGTACTTGAATTATTTTCGTTGACATTTTATTAAATCTGTAGAATTTCCTTCAATTACTTCAAGCAGCGTGTAATTATCATTTTATGCGATAGCAGAAATAAATACAAACGCGCTCACGTTAATTTTCTAAGGCGCAAAAAGCTCGCTTAATGAGAAAGATACGGAGAACGTGTTGCGGTACACGCGGTCGAGGAGGGAAAATTCACTTCTCGAATTAGAATAATCATAAGCTTATGAAAAAAAAGGGAAAGAGCCGCGCGGCGACAACGAGGTGACAAAGAGTAATTTAAAAGAGACGACCTTAGTCAAACCCCGACGACGACGACGCCGCGACGACGACTACGCGCACTGCGATGCAACGAGAACACAGCGTGTCGCAGCGGGCGGCGAACGCGTTGGCGAGAGGAAAGGGGAATAGAGCGAGCAAACACAGATTGGAGCTACTCGCATACCCGCCGCCGTCGTACAAGCAGCGGCACGACGTGGTTGCTGCTTGTTTAGCTATGTTAGCTTTGGCGTGCTTCGCCGGAGGCTTTCCCCCCCGCCGCCTCGCGCCGCTTGCAGGGCTAGTCCTTCCTTATCCGCTTTCGTTACCGCATGACAGACGTGCTTCCGCCTTTATTGTCGGACGACCGTGCAGCTAATTTCGCCTCATGCAGTGTCTATCCGCGCGTGCGCTACATCATCCTCTGTGCATCCTCTCTGTCGTTTTCCGTCCCCAAACTCGGAACCTATTTACCATAATACTTGCAGATGGTATAATTACGTTAAGCACCGTCGTCGTCGTCGTCGTCGTCGTCGTCGTCGTCGAGGTATCGCGCGACGCTGCGCCCTGGATTAATAAGTTTAGCGTCGCGCAGCGCGGTTCACCGTAAAAAGATTCCGTTTTCCTCTTTTTTTTTTATACGCGTACCCCGCGGTGTTCGCTATTACGGCGGAAATCCGACGGAACAATAAGGTCGAGAGACTATCTAATTGTAAGCAGCGCACTCGCTGGAAAATCGTAATCCGAAACTATACCGGTGTTTGTTTAGCTATGGCATCTATGGCGCGTTTGGATAATAATCGGTGCTACTATTACGCATTTGCATATACGTGTAATTATGTTGCAGATCCTCGTCCTCGTCTGCGCCCTGCTCGCCACAACGATGGCGGCCGAATCGGGCAGCGACGGGCAGCAATCCGGCAGATCGCGGGTATCCGACGAACAGCTGAATCTAGCCCTGAGCGACAAGCGTTACCTGACCAGACAGCTTAAGTGCGCTTTGGGAGAGGCGCCGTGCGACCCCGTTGGACGACGTTTGAAAAGTACGCCCTCGAGTAGATCTATCACGGCAAAACCATACCGTGCGATTATCCCAACTTAGTTTTAAAATAAAATTTTGATCCTCTTTGGCTGACGTCGGAAAACTCCTGGAAAGTCCATCAATTTTTACGAATCTGTGAGACTTCGGGAGAAAAAATGACGAATTCGAGAACGGCAATGGAAGAATGGAAAATTTTACTTAAACTTTTCAAAGTAAATGTCGAATATTTAGTATATTGAGATAATTGCAAGGGAGCATTAATGTAACCGGCAATTTCAGTGAATTTAATTTCCGCTGCGAGATATGTACGAGGAAGGACCTTACGCTAATTGTCGCATTTCCATCATTGTAGAGTAAACATAAGGGTTGAACATTCTCGCGTGTCTATAGAAATGGAATCTGAACTCGGGCAAAATTATATACCGTATAAACTCTTTATTGAATATGCGAAATTCGCTACTCTCTTCGTTTGGCTTCATATCGCATGCAAATATTTATTTTTTCTAAGGATACATTTTTCATTTTTCCACTGTTATTTTTCTTACCGCAGTATTGTCTCGTGGAAGGTTAAAATTAGCATCGGGAGTTCTGAGCGCGCGCACACACTCGCGGAAATGTTAAACATCAAATATCATTATATCTTGCGATAATATTATACCTGAATCTCGAGAGGCAGCCTCACGCATACAAGCGTACATGCTATATAAAATCAACCCGAAAATTCTGCTGAAATCCTACGTCGTTATTTTATCCAGGCTTAGTGCCGCTGGTCTTGAGAGGCTCCTGCCCGCAATGCAGCTCCGAGGAGACACGTCAGATCAAGAAGGTCCTTTCTCACATTCAGCGATCCTTCCCGAAGGAGTGGAACAGGATAGTGCAACAATACGTCGGAGTTTCATAAACGAGATATGATATGAGTGAGCCGACCACGACGAATGTACAGAGTATAATAACGGAAGACGGAAGGATATAATGGATGTCGTCTACATATTATGATAACGTCAATCACATTAGTTCATTCGATATTATCATATTAACGATGGCCGAGAAAGATATTTAAATTATCATAAGGCATATATATATATCACTTCCCGTAGATTTCAATTTGTTGACGTAATGTGAGTTACTAGTACTATCTTTATTCAAAGTGTTAAACTATTTGTATGTTTGATATATATTCTATTAATAAAGGTTATATATATATATATATATTCTCGTATTACAAAAAATAATTTTCTTCTTATAATTAATCGTGAATTAATAAGAAATACAGGCTTATAATAATTGTTTACCTCATCAGTTCGGAATAATTAGGGCGTTATTAATAAGCTTGATGCGATATTAAAACGATGTTCCTCACGAAAGTTGGTTGGTGAAAGATCACGCGAAGATAATACGAGCAAATCACGGAACACAAAGCGTACCTTCATACGAATACGTCACGAACAAAAACAGAGAGAACAGCCAGCATAAGTAGGTAGAAAGTAATTTAAACCGAAAGTAAGCTAGATTCATATCTTGTGTTTCTACCATTGTTTCTTGTATCTCCAATTTCAGTTTCAACTGCATTATATCGCAGCGGAATTTTTGCAGCTGTATGAAATGCTATAGACAAATGTTCATTTTCTCGCGATGTGAAATTTTTACCAAAAGTTATTCTATTTTATAGACCTAGTTGTACAGAAATTGTAAAAGTTTATTAAACAGGAAAATTCAGACAATTAAAAAAATATCCCATTTTATCATTTAAATAGCAACATATATGTGCAAAACATCGCTCTTTCTTCTAAAATAATCGTGCACATCTCTGATATTTTTTTCAATCTTTTACTTACCTATTTGCGGCATAGCGAATTTTGCTTTAATCCAGATTAAATCAACTGTAACGTGAGACGCGTTTACACGTTCGTTACATTAAAGCGTGATCCGCATTCGCGATGTATAATGCCGATTAGGGATATCGGTATTAAATCTGCACGTGATCTACAAGCACGAGCCGCGTTATACGCGTTGTTATTAGGGCTTATAAGTATCTCAGCACTTCGCAAGGGCTGTCGGATGTTTGACCAGGTTTATCGAGTATTAATGACGATCAACAAGTTGGTAATTTATTTGGTACATAATTAACACTATATCTGTCCCCGCGCCCGCTATTCAGCCACCGTGATTGCACCCTGATTCGGATTTCACTGCCCTTGCTGTGAATATTAATTCTACTGTGCCGCGGTGTCAAAGCCCTCGTATGCATGCTAATTTAAGTTTGCCTTGTATATCTGCAATAGCTGCAAGAACAGGCTAGTAATTAAACTTCGCGAACCTTGATAAAAGTGCGCGAGTAGTACAGCAATGATATCGTCGTCTTAACGCACGAAAAGACGTGTCTCAATATTTGCTACTTCGCGGCAGAACTATTTGAAGAAACTTTTCAGTCTATCAGCGCGTCCCGAGTTGAGATACGGTTAACTTACCGCGATAATTCCCGAGTAGAAAGAATCTGAATCTCGCCAATTTGTCGGTAACTGATTACCGCCAAAAGTGGCGAGTAGAAAAATCGATTTTCAAATACGTCGTTTAAAAATGCAAATTAAAACTAATGGGCGAGAAAAACTCTGAAATCAAACTTTTGCAATTACAAAATGTCAAGTTATATTTGCAACAAGAGAAATCAACGCTTTTTGTCGCGCAGTAGAAACGGACAGACTATTATCAGACACTGTCCTTCTGCAGAAGTTCTATCTTACGATACGTAAATATTCGACCGACTGCCGATATTTTCCGCGACGCGACGATTTTTCGACGAATAGACGAGTGTTCAGCTTTTATATAATTGAAGCACGTCCTCCGGCTGCTGCAGGAATCATCCGGCGAAGGACGTGAGCGTGACGTACAAAACTGCGCGTTGTCCTAAAACGACTGCAACAATGGCAGACAAATCTATTGCATCGCCTGGAAAGTTGCGAATCCTTCAACGACACTCGCACGTCCCCGCCTGACTATTTATCGACCACGTGTACCCAGTCGTTCAAACTGGTTTTCGATGATGCTTCCCCGGGAGAAGCGGAGATCTCGACAATTCGGTAAATCCGATTTGCCACTCCGTCTATCCTCGCAAAATTCAAAATTGAAGTCTGCGAGTAGAAATAGGTGAAGAAAGACGCTGACAATTTCCACACAGGTGCTCATGTACAGTGTGTTTCTAAAACGCTTGAACAAATTCCACACTTGTAGTCTACAACGAAATTACAGGTTTTTTTCCTTAACAAAAATATCATGTGTTCTTGAAGCGTAAACGATTGAAAACAAAACGTTTATTCGTAAATTAAATCTTAAAGATAGACATAAATTAATTATCTTATTCTATATATATTCAATTTCGAAGAAACTTTCAGAGAAGCTTTTGAAGAAACTTTCGAAGAAGGATTTTAACAGAATTTAGTTCAAAGCAGCTGTTAATGTGTGCATACTTAATATTTAATGCAAATAAAAAGCAATAAAAAATGAAAGCGTATTTGATTAAATTTTCGCTACGTAAAAATCGATTCCGATTCGATCAAGCAATACACCTGCAAAGTTTACCCACGTATTTCGGTAACATCCTGTACAAAGCGTGGCGCAAGAAGATTCAACTCACGTAATGCTTGCATTTTGCATCAACGCGACGCGATGCAATTTAAACAGTTGCGTCTCGCGAGATGCGATACGGAATGGGCGCAGCGATTAAATCGACCGTGTAACGAAAGTATGTGTGTTTGCGAATCGCGCGTACAATCCTCCAGGCAAACTTCCAGACAGATATTTAATAGTTGGATAATTAATCCCTCCGTCGTTTGTGATTCCCTCCGCGACGCGCCGAGTGTCGTCCCGCGCCGGCAACCGGCCGAAGTCGAACCTTCCTCCGCCTCTCGACAAACATTTGTTCTTCTTGATTGATACGCGATAATACACTTTCATTCGGCAGGAACAAATATTGAATCCCGTCGAAGAAACGAGGAGACGGTGTTTGCACACCTCGTGTATATCTCGCAGATGATATTGTACATATGTGTGTCTTATGTATTTGCGCGCTCGTCTACAATTTCATTGCTCATCCGCGATCGAATTCTATTTTTACACTTCGACGAGTTTAAAATTCCCAATTCTGCCGGAAACCGGCGACGGGGTAAAAATCCTTCGCCGTCCGTCCGAATGCAGCGAGCCGTTACAAAACACATCCGGTGTACTTTAATTACTTTTAATTACACTAAACGACCTACGACAATACTCGCGCTCGTAATTAAAATTAAGCCGGGCAGATATTTAGTATTGAAAATCGTTAGACGCAGATTCAGTGGAATACAATTCGATCAGAATACACGAACCTTATTGAATTAAGAGATTATTGAATATAAATAGTCACGTTATCAGGTAGAAATAATTTTTCACCATACTTTTTTCAATTATTGACCACTAATTAATTAATATTTAACACAGTTACGTATACGGTACGTATAATCACGCGCACGAATAAAACGGTATACTACGCTATACTCTGCCTCATTTTACCTTATACATAGCGAACTAAAGGTAATATGTAGCGGCGATATGCAGTGCCGCACAAGCGATTTTCTGAAACGACGATATCACGGCTACGGGAAAGCGGCGTTATATAGCCGTAAGATTATTCCCGGTGTTGGGCAGATTCCCGCGGTCGTTCGATCGCGACCTCCACCTTATAATTCGTTATACGAGCGGTGGTAAAACGACCATACCCTTTCCGCAGCTCCGCCCCCACGTCCCTTGCGACTCACCGTCACAACCGCCGTCGCCGCCGTCGCCGCCGTCGCCGCCGCCGCCACAAATCCACGACGTCGTTAAAACGACCAGTCTTCAACGTCGCCTGAAAGTTCCCTCGGCGCGCGGCGGCTCATCCTGGGGGATCATCATTTCCTCCCTTTATCGACCGTCGTACAAAAGGCAACTCGTTTTGCCCGATGGAAAACAGATAAAAAGGTCCCGCTCCGCCTTTCCTCCTATATAGATATATAGATACACACCGGCGCTACGTACGAAGTGCTGAGAGGATCTGTGCCCGGGAGAGAACTTGCGCGGGAGGGGAAGGGATGGGAAAAAAACTTCCGACCGAAAGTTTTCAACGAGAAAGAGACTTCGTTGAACGGTACGAGAGTGATTTCTTTGGTTCGCGCTCGAACTTCGCATTTTTGCAGGAGCGACAGCCGCCACTGCCGCCGCCGACGCGCGCGGCAGTTGAGATTTTCACTCTCGCGCGGTGTTCACGAGCGCGCGATTAATATTTTAATGCGGCCCTTCTTCTAGCGTGGCAGAAATTGCTATCCGCTTAAGGGAATTATCCATGAACCGTTTACCTGTTACCTTATTTCGCTTATTTCGCTCCGCCCGTTTTTCCTCTGACATTAAATACCTTGACACTAAAGTAAAGCTTTAAATTATATTTCTATTACAGCAAATGTTCCCTTATGAAATTGACCTGAAAAACTTGATTTCTTGTATAATCTATTTGGAGACTCACATCGAATCCACCAAAGCGCTCACTAATTACCAACGTCAATTATTAATATCTGTCGATTCTTCACTCGGAATAAGCGCCTTTACTTCTCAAGACCTCTTTGCCTCGCTGCTAAATATAGCTGACCCCAAGACTTAAAAGGTGTTGCGCGGAGAGACGCGAGATTGACTGACGGTTGTCCTCTCGCGGGCGCCGTGGGACAACCGGCGCTCAGTGAGGAGGCACACCGTTTGCGCCGCTTTAATTACGTTTGAGAGCACGAGGGGCGACGGACGCGACACGAAAGCGCGGAACGGGATTACAGTACGCGACGCTAACGGCGCTTAAACACACGAGAGGCATCCCCGTCGTTCACTCCCTCGCTCCCTCGCATCCAATACGCCGCCGGCAATTCTTGGCGTTGCACAATGCCTGAATGCGAGAGCTCGCGCGACTCGTGAATGACCCGGGTTCTCTCCCTCTCTCTGTCTCCCTCACTCTCCATCTCTCAACGCACGCACGATGCATTCCTCTCTCGCATGCATCGCGCGCGCACTGAACACCGGCCTCCATGCAGACATTATATGCGTCCGTGCCAACACGTGGCGACGGAGAGAGAGCGAGAGAGCTGACGAGGCGAAAAGCGGTAGCGAGAAAGACAGAGAAGAGAAAAGGGAGGCTCGAAAAGGCTTAATGAAAGTT